AACCTGTACGCACTCACCGAGTTCTCTCACATCCCATCAAGATAGTGCGCGCGCCACTCTTCGTCGGTCATGCCGAGAGCCTGCGCCTCCTCCAGCAAGCGTGCCTGCATTTCGAGCTGGTCACGCATGGTCTCGCAGGATGCCACCTCGCGAGCGAGGAGCGCCATGTGCTCCTGGTGCGTCCTCAGGCCCTCTGGCGTGAGGGTCCGAACCATCTCCGGGTCCTCGCTCTCGAGCTCCTCCTGCGCGTCCTGCGCTTGCTCATCATAGCCGGAGGCACGGTCGTAGAGACCCTGGATTTCGGTGGCAATGGTGTGGCGTGGCCGCAAGTTGTGATCGAGGGATACGGTGCCATAGCTGAACGAGACTTCTCCCCACATGATGGTTGCACCAGCACTCGCTGTTGAGCGAAAGGAGGCAGTCAACGCGCGGATTGTCTACATCATGCAACAATATCGGTCAGTTGGTTGGCGAGGCGCATACTACACCAGACAGAAGACACATACATCTCCGCTCACATGGTGAATATTAGAATCATTGGGTTCCATGTACACATACCCGAGGATTGCACTGGGCTGGCAGAGGCTCCCTGATAGGTCATTCGACGCTGAGGGCTCGATGTCGTCCAATTCCTGGAGCGCCGGTATGTCGTCCAATTCCAGGAGCTCCGGTACGTCGTCCACCTCCTCGAGTTCCGGTAAATCATTCCACATGGACGCATCGTCGGCGTCGCTAGTGGAGGCATCGTCGCTGTCACTAGTCACGTCCATCATGCCCTCTGGCGGTGGGCTGTCGAAGGAAGACCAGGTCGACATTCGGCAGCGTGCAGTTAGTGAGAATGGTGATCGACGTATGAGAGCAGGAGCGGCGATAAAGAGTGTGGTATATAAAATGCAAAGTTTGACTGTTGCGCTGTCTGCACATGGCTGCCGCGTGATCGACCCTGCATGTTGCCGTCTCATTTCGCCTGCCCGCTGAGTACGTACACTCGTAATTATTACATTTAATCTGTGTTCGGTCTTGGTGCACGGGTCGCAAAGACACCCTACCTCGGACCTCGGTCGTAAATAACTGCGTCGGCGAGACCACAAACCGGCGGTGACTGGGGCGCAATAAACGAGATTTTGTACGTATTTCCTACCTCGTGAGGTGCGAAACAGCACACATGTGCTATTTTGGGAGCGTCTGCCGAAGGAACATGCACAAAATGGTATACAACTGTAATAGTGTCGTGTTTGCGCGATGCAGACACCACCGGACGGTGTTATATACAAATATATTGGCAATCAGAGAGTATGAAGTCGTAATGTGGGTTGATAGACAAGTACCGAGGCGCGAGGTCGCTATTAGGGGTATACTACTTTATTACATTGCCAAAACATGGGGTATAGACCCGCGTGCCAGACACGGTGCGCACAACCATGCGCGTGAGAGGGATGGCAAAAGCTGTGCCAGCGGGCGCTTGCCTAGCCATGGCGTCTAATGGCTAGGGCTAACCCTAGCGGAGACTTTTTTTGCGCCTGTTTATGAGGGCTATCAGAGTGTGCCATAATATGTGCTCGCTTCCATGGTTGCAACAGAGATATGGCCTCGCTTCTGTCCCATTACACTATATTTGGGTGGAAGCGAGGACATTGTGGGCTATATGTTGGGGCTACTGACACATGCTTATCCTCATTATGTAGCCATTAATCAGGGCTATAAGATGATGCCAAGAAATTCACTCGCTTCCATATTTTTGGTGGAGATATGGCCTCGCTTCCGTGTCCAGGTCCTGCTCACTTGTGATGGAAGCGAGAGAATTGTGAGAGAACTAGTACAGCCACTGGCACGAAACAACCGCCATTACGTAGCTATCAACGAGGGCTATCAGAGTGTGTCATAATATGTGCTCGCTTCCATGGTTGCGGTGGAGATATGGCCTCGCTTTCATCCCATTACGCCCCCTTTCAGCGGAAGCGAGAACTTTGTGGGCTATATATTGATGCTACTGAGACATACTTATCCTCACTATGTAGCCATCAACGAGGGCTATAGGATGATGCAAAAAAAATCACTCGCTTTCATAGTTTTGGTGGAGATATGGCCTCGCTTCCGTGCTCGCTTCCAACGGATGCAAGAGAATTGCGAGAGAACTAGCGCAGCCACTGGCACGAAACCACCACCTATGTGTAGCTATTGATCAGGGCTATCAGATTGACCCAAAATATGTACTCGCTTCCATGGTTGCGGTGGAGATATGGCCTCGCTTCCGTGCTAGCAGACACAGGCTGACTCCTATATCTGGTGTGCGATAACATGCTGGTAGTAGTGCATTGTTGAAGCTATTATCAGATGAAATAAGGGCAATATGTACCCAGAAGGTACCCTCAGTAGTGGCCAGGGCACAGCCAAGGTGGCAGAGGGGGCATCACTTCGAAGTGGGTGCACAGCCACAATCACACCAGATTTGAATAGCCCTGGTCGAGGGCTACCCAAATATACCAAAATATGTACTCGCATCCATGGTTTTGAAGGAGATATGGCCTCGCTTCCATTCCGTTACACTCGCTTCCGACGGAAGCGAGGCGATTACGGGCCGAGGAGCACAGCCACCAGCTCGTAACTACCACCATCGTGTAGCCAAGAAGCAGGGCAACCGGAAAACCTGCGAAAGCGAGAAGGTTTCTTTAACGGTTCCTGAGATATGGCCTCGCTTCCGTGCTCGCTTCCGTTCGCTTCCGGCATCCTGAGCTCAGGATGGGGTTTTATAGAGATAGGGCACACGGCGCCTGTTGTAACCCTAGTAGGCACGCACGTAGGGTTAGGGCGTAGGGGTTATTCTGACCCTGCGGTCGCCCACCGGCCGCTCATAACCCTAACCCGCCCGGGACACCCATAACTGCAGGGCCGTACAACAATTTGGCGTACGTGGTCTGGGGCGCCTGGGACATACTGTACCCTTGAGATGGGTATAGTCCATACCCCTGGGGCCCAGGGTAGTATGTATAACCCATAGCTCCTGGAGGCGCCGAGTACCCCTGTATCATGGGTCCCGGGTGCATGGGATATCCACCGCCGGGCATCATCGGGGGACCCATGTTAGGATATATCCTGAATGGGTCGTTCGAGATACTCGGTGGCATGCCAGGGCCGTCCCACCGCGGTGGTCCCGTGTGCAGCACCTGTGGGTGCGGTTGTTGCATGGTGGGCGGTTCCGCCGTCGCGCCACGGACTCGTAGTGGGTCCGCCAGAGGAGGGGTGAGATCTGAGGCGGTGTTATACTGTCCCAGACGCTCCCTGCTCGCGGCGGTAGTGTGGAATGCCATTCCATCCCACTGCGGTCCACCTAATGGCAATGGTGAGGGCGGTGTCATCTCGGCACCGGCCCCGGTGATGTTTGAGGCTGGCCAACGAGGTCCAGCGGTATTGGGATTACCGCCTTCCCAGGGCGGTGGATCGTCACCTTGGGAGGGGATGGGATCACCTCGGACAGTGCCATCACTGTCCGAGTATGCCGTCGTGAAACTTTGAGCGCTGGATCCCCCCGTTTGGGAGGAAGATCCGGAGCTCGAAGTGTTTTGTCCGGGTGGTCCGGGGAGCGTTCTCAGAGCTCGTCCGGGATCAGGACCTTCTGGAGGTCGTGATCCTTGGGGAACGGGCTCGCTACCGCCTTCCTGTGAAGGGGAATGACGCACCGTGGTATCCATCACCGGATAAGTATCCTCAGTCTTCTTCTGTTGATTAGACTAGAAGTGAACTCAAAAAAATGTAAGTAACAGTAGTATCGCCTTATCAAACCAGTGTGAGTTGCACAGAGTCTTGAATATAGGCGTATGAGATGAGGATACAAATGAGAACGGCGGCGCTGAGGCCCCGGGATGGTGCTATACAGTCCATGTCCAGCCACTGCCCACGGGCGCCTAAGCGCCAGAACCCGACCGCGGCACAGCCACGGTCACCGAGGCCTTACATCTATGCACGATCACAAGTTTACCCCATTCCACTATAAGCTGTGGAAGAAGCTTCTTCAGCTCCCAATCCAGCATGGCTTTAGCGACCGCACGTACCCATTTTCTTTTGAGTCCACAATTTACTCTATGCGCTGCTACGAGCACACGTCTGGGTGCCCTGATGATGTGTACAGCTTTATTGACGAGATATTTGATCTTGCTCCCCATCTTCAGGACAAAGCTGACCTCTTCAAGGGGAATTTTTTCGATTACCCTCTCCCTTGTACCTATTTTGAGTGCCCGGTCTGTGCTGCAGTTATCTAGTTTCTTGCTATTCTGCTCCACATAGTCCTTACAAATACGCAGCTTCCGTTCAACCGGTTGCAACTATATCTGTCCTTGTTTGAATCAAATGTGATTCTGATCCTTACCACGCACCTTCAGAATGCACTGAATGACATACAGAGTGCTCAGATCTGGGATACGCAAAGCACAATTGAGTGTGTATGTAATATTTGACTATGTCTACAAAGTGTACCTCTAGAAGACATGTGTATATGCCCCACTAATTGGCTCTGCAGTGCAAGACGTGCCTCCAGGAGGCATGCATGTACATGAGGGTGCATGTGAATGGTAGGCCAGTGCGGCTCAGCGCTGTGCATGCAGCAGCATGTCTCCGGGAGGCATGCACCTGCACGCTGCACATTTGCGCACTTGTAAAATGCATGTCTCCAGGAGACACGCATTGCACACTGCCCATGTACCAGTGCATCCCAGCGTGCATGCAGAGGCATGCCTCCTGGAGACATGCCCTGTACTGCAGTCCGTGTATGGCTAGCTACAATAGCTCGGTATAGGGCTGTCCCGATATGGCAAGGCCTGACCCTATGGCATACATTCTAGGGTTAGGGCTTAGGCATATTCTCACACCTGGGCACACCTGGGTACCCTCATAACCCTAACCCTAAGAACGCGTTGCTGACCTCCCGTTTGGCTGCGTCTGCCAAGACCTGCAACGGGTCCGCCTCCTCGCCGTCCTCGGTCTTTGTTGGACGCGGCAACTCGGTTTCCGCAATGTCCTGCGGGAGAATCGAGGAGAGCTCGGGGACAATGAGGCTCGGAGTCGCCTGCTTCTCCTTCAGAAGCATCGCGTGGTACGCTGACCGCTTCATAACGAAGTTGGCGTGCCACTCGGGGCTGGCGGTCTGGAAGGCGGCAACGGTCGCATAAGAGTGCGGGTCAGGGACAGCGTGGATGGGCGGGTGTGGAATGAGACGTAGGGTCGACGTGGGCTGAACATACGTCGCCGCCGGGCCGTGATGACGACGGAACTCGATGCGGTTGACATTCCGTACGGCTGCCTAGAGGGAACAAGTTAGGATATCTAATGATACAGACCGCACAGTTAGCGTACCTCAATGGCGGTGTCCATGGCCGCTGCGAACTCGGAGTTGACGGTGTCGGGTTCGCCGGGCGTGTTGCGCGCAAACGAGGCGGCTTTCGCCATCATAACGAACTTCTTGAGATCGAGGGCGTACGTGTCCCACCGTGCCTCCGCTTGGTGGTGGTCGTATACGACTAGGGCCTCTTCCCGGGTCCTCTTTGGAGGGGGCGCGTCAGTGAGGATACGCGCGACGATCGGGTCGTCCCACTGCGTGCGCGTCTTCTCCACCACGACCGACGGCTCGATGCTGTGGGAGACTTTCCAGTTGTCTGACAAGAACTTGAGGAAGTCCTCGCGCAACTTGAGACCGACGTCGGTCTTGACGGCGATCTCCGTCTGCTTCACGTACAGCTTGTGCGCGATAAAGACGTAGAAAGCGAGACCAGCCAGCTCCTTCGGGCGGTCGCTGCCATCGATGTTCCTCCACTCGAGCGCGTTGAGCGAAAGGAACCGGAGGCACTCGTATTTGGCAACTGAAGCCTTTGGGAGCGAAGACGTGACGGCGCGTGGAGGACGGCTGAGCTTGCGAGCGGCTAGCTTGTCGATTTTGACCGGTTTGGGAACATGGTTGCTGAGAAGCTCCGCAATCTCACTGAGTGCATCCTGGTCGGATGGCGTCCATCCGTCTTCACCGAGCACCTGGATCCAGGACTCAGTCTCCTTCTCGAATTTAGCCGTTTTCTTGTCGATGGCCAATTTGCCAGCAACCCGCCAGCCGTTCAAGTTGAGGTTGTAGAACCGAGTGGCCTCGAGCGAAATGCGCTTCGAGAGCATTGTGTCAAGCTGCAATAGCTCGAGACGATGACTGAGTATCCACTGCCACAGCTGCCATCCGGTATTAGTTAGCCCGGGGAAATGTGTTTCGTATACGAGGTGCTTACCGTGCGAGGAAAATTGCTACCGCAGGCCATGATGTCGGGGTCCTTGACGTATTCTTGCATGTTGGACGTGTGGTCCCAGACGTCTGTGACATTCATGTACATGGCCCGGTCGGCCATTGGGTCCATGATACGGCTCAGCTGCGGCGGTATTAGCAAATGTGTAACATAGCATCTTGCATCGTCGCAGACGAGCACCTGGGTGCTGGTCCGCTGTGCACGTCATGCACAGTGACATCTCCCGGATGAGCACCCCCGGGCTCGTCTGGGGACGCACAAGACGGCGGGCGAGCCCCTGGGGGCTCGTCTGCGATCGTTGAACAAGCAGACGAGCACCCTGGGGCTCGACCAGGGGGCCGTACTGCGCACGAGACGACGGACGAGCACCCTGGGGCTCGTCCGCAAGCGTCGAAGGTGCGGACGAGCCCCAGGGTGCTCGTCCGGGGGGCTGAAAATGTCCTCGACGTGCTAGAAAGAGGCGAGTACTCACATAGGCGACACCAAATCCAGCGGCGAACAGTGCCTCGTACATGTCCTCGAGCGCAGAGCGCGTCGGCCATGGCAGGTCCAGTGTTTGCTTCGTCTCGCGCAGAAGCTTTATCCACCGGAGCTTGGCGAGTGCGTACTGTTGTGCCTGCTCGGTGTCTACAGTCGAGGGCCCGTGAGGAGCTGACGTCCACCACTCCACGCACATCGCCTCCATACGCTTCCAGTACTTGCCCATGGCTTTACTCCAGGCCTCGGAATTGTCGAGGCCAAACTCGTGCTTCACTGGCCGGACGGTCTTGATATACAGGGCGTCGAGCTTGAGCATGAGCGCGGGGTGCCAGATCTCCTGCTCCTCGCACTTGGACCCCTGCGTCAGCACATACTTGGCGTCCTTGTACAACCCCAACGCCGTCCAGTACTCTTGCATGGTGTACTCCGGGTCGCGCAACATCGAGACATACCCTGCGAGGGTCTCCATGCTCGCATCGCCTTCCTTGACGGGCTCCTCGTCGTCGCCCTCGAAGATCTGCCACCGACACGAGCTCGCGATGAACAGCATGTCTTCGGCGAGCATCTCAAATCCGGACATCCACAGCTGCGGAGTTCGTTAGTGCTGCAGGCGCGAGAGGTGGGTGTACGCGAAACATACCCCGCCGACGGTGTTGTGTGCACGCTTGTCGTGGATGTTGTGCGGTTTGGGTTTCTTTCGCAGAAGTCGCTCGCGCAGCTCCTTCACGCGGATAGTGTTGCCGTCCCCGACGAAGCTGAGCCGAAGGACATTGGTGAGGAACTCCCACGTCCGCGCCGACGAGAACAGCTGGCTAATGCCCTTCTTGATCGCCTGCTCAGACATGTTCGGCTTGACGATATCCTTGAACCAGTCGTCGCTTCCGATGACCATGGGGATAGTCGTCCCGCGCTGGTGTTCCTTGAGCGCCATCGTAATCTCGTAGTGCTGCCACTGCAGCTTCTCCTCGCCCGTGACTGCGTACCGCGCGGTCTCGTCGTTCGTGGACAAGAAAATCTTGACGCCCTGGTCATCGCCGATGATATCTGTGCGAGTTGTAAGCCGTGCGTTCCAAACAGGCGGGCGCGAACTTACCCTCGTCGTAAACCCTCACCAGCCACACCATGCTGTCCTCGGAGACGGCGTTGATGTTCTCCAGCGTCTGCTGGAGGTCGCGGACGCCCTGCTGCTTCTCTTCTTCGTCGCGCCTCGCCTTCAGCAGCTTTGCGATGCGCTTCTCTGTCATTTCCGCGTCCGTGTTGAGCCCCAACTCGCGAAGTCGCATCGCCTCCTTGCGGTGCTGCCCGCCCAGGCACTGGATCCACGAGCCGTGCGCGGCCGGGAGCCACTCGAGCCGGGGGCCTTCGTTGGTGTCGACGACCTCCTTCGTGAGCGTGTTGACGTTGACGAACTTGCGCTTGGCCACAATCGCCATCGGGTCGAGCCAGTTCTTGACGCTCGTGTCGCGAAAGGACATCATAAGCCTGCGCACGCGTCCGGGGACGACACCGCGCTTGTTCACGTCTTGGAACTTGAACCTGACGGGTTGACCATCGGCGAAGGACATGAACCCGAACCCGAGGAAGGCCTTCTTCGCGAGCTTTGAGTTCCTCTCGACATTCGCCTTGATTTTGGCCTCGCTGTCGTTTGTGCCTTTGAGGTTCACCTTGACGTCGGTCGCTTTAAGTGATGGGGCGGGCGCGTCTTCGTCCGCGTCGTTGTCGTCTGCGTCGGCGTCGGCCTTCTTCTGGCGCGTACGCTTTGGTTTCTGCAACGCGCAACGTTAGCTGGGATCTGCAATTTGGTATGTGCGTACTCACCTCGCTCGTCGCCTTGGGCTTTGGCTTGACCTTCAGAGACACCTTGCCCTTGCCCCTCAGAGCCGGCTTCGGCGGCTCTTCGTCGACGTCCATCTCGCTCTCTCCGTCGTCTGCGGCATCAGAGTCCTTGTGGCGGACCAGTTGGATGGTGGCCTGGGACTTGCCCGTGGATGCCTTGGCCGGCTGCTTGTCCGCCGCCGCTTTCCCCGCGCTGTTCTTCGGGGGTGCGACCTCCTGAATCTCGTCGTTGTCGTCGGCGTTGGCGTCCTCGTCCCCGCGTGCGTCCTCCGGAATGTTCTTGGTGGCGCTTTTGCTGCGCGCACCCTTCGTCTTCGGCGGCTGGGCCGCCTGGATTACCTCCCTCTCCTCGTGCTCCGGAACGACCTCATCCGCGTCCGCGCACTCGCTCGCACCTCGACCGCGCATGCCCTCGCCCTCGGGCGGCACCTGCTGGACGCCACTGGAGCTCGCGCTGGCGCTGCGCCCATCGCTGCTGCTTCCTCGTGGCCCCGCGCTTTGCGTACCACCTCCTGGGGCCGGTCCTGCCTGTTCTGCGGCTCTCTGGGCCGCGCCACCCTGTGAGAAGGGAATCTGGTGAGTAGATTGATCTTGTCGCGCAGACGGAAGTACTTACCCGAGGGACGGGGCGCACTGCCAGCTGCGACTTCGACTTCTTCGGGGCATTTGGATCACCGGACTCGGACATGTCGGAACGTGAGAGAGGGGAGGATGTGTCAATGTCGACGAACTCCCAGAGAGAAGGCGATAGGAAAGCGAGCGGTTCTCACACGCAGTAACAGGAAGCGCAGGGAAGCGCAGAAGGAGAGCTGCGCTGGCAGGTCGCAGCTCGCAGCATGCCGAATTTGGCGCTGTAGCCATGTGGCTCATGTCGCATGGCACACACCTGCCTATTTTAGCCATTATACCAGACTCCTCGCCTCCTGGCGGCTTGACGACTCTCCTGGGAACTCCCAGAGCCAAAACAGTGTACATTCTAGCTATTCTGATCACGAATGTTCTCCTGGCAAGGTCCCAGACGAGTGTACTGGTGCTGTACGCGTGTGCGCGTCCCGAGAGATCACCACGGGGCTCGCTTGCGACATAGTACGGTACAGACTCGTTTGTGCGAGCATCGCGGACGAGCACCACGGGGCTCGTCCGCAGGTCTTTTGGTGTGCGGACGAGCACCTCTGGGCTCGTCCGCAGGTCTTTTGGTGTGCGGACGAGCACCTCTGGGCTCGTCCGCGCACGCAATTCTCATATTCAAGCACCATGCGGTGCGCGTGGGACGGCGGTGCGCAGATGAGCACCCCGGGGCTCGTCTGCACACCAGAACACACACCAACACTGTTTTTGTTGTGTGGTATATGACTGTACAAGCAAGCAAGTTCGACTTTCCCGTGCATCGGGGTGTACTGGACGCGTACCCGGGTGCGCGCTCGTTAGCGTTGCTTGTTTATTGTTCGTCCGCGTGTGAATTTTAATATCTTGGCGGCACATATGCGTTCACGGTGATCCGACGTGCGAGGGTAGGGGTCAAGCGGAAACACAAGACGTGTATTGGGAACTACATAACCCATCCTATTTGTACTATCACACCCATGTCCGTGAGAGACATATACCACGTGCTGAGCAGCTGAGGGAGCGGGGCGGACGAGGGAGCACGGCACACGAGTGTCCGTGTGGCCGAGCAGAACCGGCGCGCGCAGATGGCGTGAGCCATCCATACACTTTTACGCTGTGTGTACGAAGATGCATGTTAGTACCTATCTCAGACCCAGCGGACGAATGGTTGAAACGAAACGTACCCTATCGGAGCTGACGGAACCATGCGGTGTCGGTCTCGACTGAGAGAAGGTTCTTGACGGCCTCGTTGTCCCCAACGATGTCTGTGTGGATGCTCAGCCAAGCATCCTCTGCACGCGCAAATACGAATACATGGAATTGAGACTTACCCTTGTCGTACAGGCCCATCAGCCATCTCATCTGGTCCGCTCCGAGGGTGTCGATGTCGTCGAGACGGGTTTGGAGGTCTTCAATACGCTCCGGGATCGTCTCCTCGTTGCGCCTTGTCTCAAGTCCTTGTACACGGAGTCGCAGCG